CACCTTGAAATGCAATACCACTACATGATGTCTGTGTCAACGGGAACAGCTGAAAATCCAGCCAGAACGTGAGACAAGAGCCAGCTGATCACTTGAAAATCTTCAAGGAGTAGGCAGTTAGGAGACTCTGAGGATATCTGAGCATACAGTATGCTTGATATATGTAGGTACAGAATATCTCATGAACTGACTTGTCATTTGTTTTCCAACACTTCTACTTTACAGTCATCTACATTTGCAAATTTGCCTTTCCATTTTTATATGTAATAGCACTACCATGTTTCCATTCCTCTCCCCACTATGTCCTTGTCAGTAAATATCAATAGATTCTTCATATCATTGTGTATGTGTGTTCTGTTTCAAAGACTGTAAATTCTCTGGAACGAGGATAGTATCTTGTGATTCTTTTAAAAATTCGAGCCTCTCCTTAGTGATAACAGTACACCCTCAAAAATGTTGTATAATATAAATAAAATACATGAGATGCAATTTAAGGCTTAGATTATCTTTTTATTTTGACATTTTATCCATTGGTATTATTCTCAACAATTTTAAGCACTTTCTGATTCAAGTCTTTTATGTACAAAAATGTTCCTATCCCTCTCTTTTCATCAGTACAAACCTTCCTGTGCAACACACAAGTCGGTAGAGGCCAATCTGGAATCATCGCAACAGGGCCACCAGCAACTAGAGAAACCCAATCCCACAGACACTGAGGTTTGAGAGGGGTCCACCAAGTCCTTTGACTCAGCCTTCAAATATCCTCAAAACCTCATCTCTCAGGTAGCTCCCTTCTGACTAGAATCACCTTGTTTAGCGATTTAGACATTCTGTACCTTGGCTTTACACCAGCTTCTAGCTTATCTTTCTGCTTTTAGTCTTTATACTATGGCCAAAATGATCTTTCTAAAACCCAAATCCCTTCACATTCCACCCACTTTAAAATTCTTCAGCATTGGGAACCAGCAGTTAGCGTAATGGCTATGTCGCTGGACTCCCATGTAGTCGACCGCGGTTCATGTCCTGGACCCAGTGGCTTAAAACTCATGCCGGGCGCGTGTGCGTGTATGCCCAAGATCCCGAGAGGAGAATGGAGGAGAAGGGATTGCGGCGTGACCATCCCCCCTGGGGGGGGATTTCTCGCTTTCTGTCTCTATGTCTCTCTCTGTCTGTCTGGAGAGCGCACGCGCCCTACAGTGAAAATCTCCCCCCCCCAAAAAAAAAAAAAAACTTCAGCATTACCTTAATAGCAATAGCACACGATGTCTGAATTTCTTAACATAGCATATTTCAAACCTTATATTCTGCCACTCATTCATTCACCAAAAGATGTGACTACCTATTATGAGTCAGGAACCATTTTAGACATGTGAGTGTATGTATATGTCAGGTTGTTGGAAAAGCCAAGGAACATTTTTACATAGAAAACCAGAAAAATACATCATGACTTTTTAGATGACCCAATATGACCAAAACAGACATGCACAGACACAAAAAATAAAGCCAGAGAAACAAACAAGAAAACAAAACCTGTTGTCACTGGAGATTAAACTGCAGTAGAGAGGAGTCAATAAACAAACCAGCACAGTTTGGCAGGAGGTGATATGTGCTATGATGAAAATACAAGTACAGAAGAAGGTACTGTTGTCAAGGCCTTAATTGGAAAGAGACTTGAAAGAGGCGAGGTGAGCCACGCAGTTAGCTGGAGGAAGGCTATTCCAGGCAGAGAAAAACTTTCAGTGCAAAGGCCACAAAGCAGAAGAATGCCTACAATGTTCATGGACTGTTAGGGGACTGGCATGGTTGAAAAGAGTGAACAAGGAAGAGGAAAGAAGGCGACGAAGACAGAGAAAAGATACAGGAAGTGGTACAGTGGTTTTGGGACCTCTGTAGACCATTACGAGCTCTCATATTAAAAAAAAATGTTTTTCTTTATTCATGACAGTGAGAGAGAGAAAGAGGGAGGGAAGGAGAGACAGAAGGAGAGGAGGGAGTGTCTGGTCCTGCTGTGATTCCCTTCCTCCAGTCCTGCAGCTCATCGGATCTTGTGCATTCATATTTGCGCCCTGAGTGTTTCAGGCTGATGGCCTGTGAGTCGAACTGCAGTCACCATGTGACTCCTCTAGAGCAATGCAGGCATCACAGAGCTGGCTCAGCAGTTGGATTTTACTCTGAAGGATGCACTGCATGTGACCCATGAGAAAGAAATGGCAGGATCTGCCTTCGATTTTTTTAAAGACTGCTCTGGCAACTGTGCTGAAAAGAGACTATGTGGGCAAGGGTGGAAGCCAGAACTCGGGTGGGCAGCTGCTACAGTAATCCAGGTTAGAATGAATGGGTGGTGAGACATGGTTGGACGATAGATAATCGCTAATATTTTGAAGTACGGTCAATAAGATTTTTTTTGACACAATAGATATGGGGTTGAGAGAGGTATCAAGAGTAACCAAGGTTTTTGGATTGAGAGAAATGGGAGGACAGAGTCGGCATTAATTGAGAAGAGAAAGGCTGCTGGTGGAGCAGATTTAGGGCAAAAGATCTGGAGCCCAGTTCTGACATATATGAAAGGTCTACTGAACATTCAACCAGGCATTTGTTTATGTAAGATGGGAGTTTAAGGAAACAGTTTTGCCAAAGCGTCTGTCATCCTCGCAGATAAGTCTTACATTCCAGGATGACAGAACTTCATGTTCCTGAAGTTTTCCTCCATGTCTTTATGTCTCTATTTTGAATATTCTTACACCCTGTGCTTTTCCACTTGGTCAAAAAAATCTCAGCCTTCCAGACTTAGGTCATCTATCATCTACCTCATGAAACTCACATGACTGTCAAGGCCTGAATCACCCTGGTTCCTTTCCTAAGTCACTTAAGTAAAGACCAAAATAAATAATAACTTGTCTTTTAGCATACAAGTATGAAAAGTTAAGCAATTTTCATCTCTCTTTTGGAAAGAAAAAAGCAGCCAGTTTATAAATACAGCAAGTGACTTGCCTAATCTCATCACCAGAAAAGTTTAGAAACTCTTTAAGGAAATTATTAAGGGGAAACCAGCAGTTAGCGTAATGGCTATGTCGCTGGACTCCCATGTAGTCGACCGCGGTTCGCGTCCCGGACCTGTTGACTTAAAACTCATGCCGGGCATGTGTGCGTGTATGCCCAAGATCCCGAGAGGAGAATGGAGGAGAAGGGACTGCGGCGTGACCATCCCCCCTGGAGGGTGATTTCTCGCTTTCTGTCTCTATGTCTCTCTCTGACTGTCTGGCGAGCGCACGCGCCCTATAGCGAAACCTCCCCCCCCCGAAAAAAAAGGAAAGAAAATTATTAAGACAACAGAAGAAGATCTTGGTAAGCAGCTCAGTAATCAGACTTTGCATTTTTCAATTTTAGTAGTTACTTCAAGAGAAATATATACAAAAAAATTGTACTATATAGTAAAAGCAAATATCATTAGGTAAAAGCAGATATCTTCTACTTTCCAAAGCTATTTTCTGTTATACAATTTTTTCATTTTGATTGTAATTTTTTTTACTTGCCTAAGGGAAGCATTTAAATGAGATGACTTATTAGGCAAGAAAACCAGTCTCTTTGTATCATTCCCAGGAGAGAGTCTAATCTAACTGAGAAAAGGGGAAAAATTTAAAAGATGATATGAAATGTGAGTGATCCAGGTGAACCAGCCTCTTTCAAAAATAAGAATGCAGATATCTCAGAGGCTGCTGCTACCGCTTGAGCTCTATGTTCCCAACTGCCAATTCGCTGCAGCTAAAATGGAATTTCATCAGGGCAGATTTTTATTTCTTTTCTTCACTACTATTTCTCTAGCTCCTAAATGTACTGGCAGATAGTAAGTGCCCAATGAATGGACAAACACATATAAATTCTCTATCATAAGGGGTTAAAATACACTAACTATAACTGCATATACATTTCTTTAGGGTTTAAAAAATTGCTGACTTTTTATAACCTTTAACCTTTCTTTCGTTGCTAGTGGAAATGTGTACTCACTGGAAAAACAGAGAGAGAGAGAGAGACAGAGAGAGAGAGAGAAGGCAGCTCATGTTGGGATATCTCAGTCCTTTTTCCTCCAACTCATCAGGACTTTGGGCACATACACGCATGCGCCTAATGTGTTTTTTTGAGCATCCAGGGCCAGGATTTGAACTGCAGAAGTGGGATCTGACTTTCTACTCTCTACGCTCAGCACATAACTGCTGTGCTATGGAGCCAAAAAAATTGCTGACTTAGTATAAAACTTTGGAGTATCGAGAATTTACTCTTGGCCCTGTGGCTAAGGGGTTAAGGGAGCAGGATCCAATATGGCTGACTGCACAGTTCAAGTCCTGGACCTGGTGACTTGAAAAACAGGCTAAGCACATTTGTATGAATGCCGCAAATCCTCAGAGATCAAGAAATGAAGAAGGGATTGTGGCCTGACCACCTCCTACCTGGGTGTGCCTTATCCTTCTTGTTCTCTCTGGGTGAGCACACAGACCCTCTAGCATTTTTTTTTTAAAAAAAGCGAAAAAGAATTTACAATCATTATCTTCAAATATAAATAAAACAGTTAACCACATGCAAAAGTAGGGGCTTTCTGAGGCCAAATCTCTAACAAAGTACATATATTCTCTGTACATCAAAAGAAAAGCATTCTACTTTGGTACACTTGCTTAATAGAGTAAATTTTGGATGCATATTCATTATGGGAAAATAAAATATAGCACAGAAATCCTATTTTTCATTGGAGAATCAAGACTTATAAGGACCAGAAAAAGTAGTTTAAAAACTTTGATTTCAAGAATTAACACAGTAGCTTAAAATACCTCAAAAAACCAGGTTCTGGAAGTTCCTTTGTGCCAGAGAAACTCTTTGGGTTTAAAACCAAACAGGCTCTGTAGCACTTTGAACAATAACCATTATTTTCATTCAGTCAATAGATGATCTGCCTTTCTCAATCGCCAAAAAGAAACATAAGGTATCATTTTCAAGATGCAAACACCAACCTCTTTAGTCTCATGTAGTTTTCACTGGCAGCAGGTCGGCATTCGGCTCTTTGTACTACTATTCCTTCCAACGAGAGCTTTTCTTGAATAGAAAGAAAAAAAATGTATTCAGAGAGAGCATTTATCATTTTCAAGACTGTATTTTGACACAGTTATCACTGTAATATGACAATCAAATATAATAATAAAAATCCAGGAAACAAAAAGAACAGTATTAATTTTATAGCATTATTACTGGTCAGACAGAGAGAAACCTTATTTTTAGTAACAAACTGGATTCCTGTTAGGTTTGTTTATTGGGTTGCTACAGTAACTTGTTGATAATAGCTTTTATACACCTAGCTCCTTCTAAATAGGGTGGCCTAAAAGGACAGAAAAATAAATATATGAAGGGAATGGAGGCTATCATCTTTGGTACAGAAGTAACTTTCCTTTTCTTTTCTGTTTTTTTTTTTTTTTGGTACAGAAGTAACTTTCCTTTTCTTTTTTTTTTTTTTTTTTAAATAGAGATTTTTATTGCTATAAGGTGTGTGTGCTCACTGGAGACACACACACACTCAGAAACAGAAAACAAGAAATCACCTCCCCTGGGAGTATGGCCATGCCGCAATCCCTTCTCCACCAGTCTCTCAGGATTTTCCATATGCATGCACACACACCTGGTGTGAATTTTAAGCTGCCAGGTCTGGTACTTGAACTGCAATCAACTACATGGGAGTCTAGTTACATAACCATTATGCCATCTCCTGGTCCCAAGAAGTAACTTTTAAAAACAAGGTTAGTTTGGGGCCTAAGCGCTGACCTCCCATGTAGTCGACAGCGGGTTGAGTCTTGGATCCAGTGGCTTAAACTTACGCCAGGCGTGTGTGCATGCCCAAGATCCCGAGAGGAGAATGGAGGAGAAGGGATTGCGGTGTGGCCATCCTCCCTGGGGGGTGATTTCTCACTTTCTGTCTCTCTGTCTCTCTCTGTCTTTCTAGAGAGTGCACTCACCCTATAGCAAAACAAAATAAAAACAAACAAACAAACAAAAAACCTCTCCAACAACAAGGTTAGTTTGGGGCCAGTTGATGGCATAAGAGTTACATTGCTGGCCTTCCATCGTGGCTGACTGTGGTTCGAGTCCTGGATCCAGTGCTGGACTGGAAAAATCATACCAGGCGCGTGTGCGCTTGTGCCCCCAAATCCCAAGAATGAAGGAACAGGGACTGCATGCAGTGTGGTCATCCCCCCCTCCTGGGGGTGATTTCTCACTTTCCTTCTCACTGTCTCTGTCTCTTCTCCCTAGGGATTACACATGGCTTAAGGCAAAAACCTCTTCTTTTTTTAAAAGATTATTATTATTTTCTTCAAAAAAAAAATTCAGCGACCAGCAGTTTGCCTAATGGCTATGTCGCTAGACTCCCATGTAGTCGACCGTGGTTCAAGTCTTGTACTGGTGGCTTAAACTCACTCAGGGCACGTGTGCGTGAGTGCCCAAGATCCCAAGAGGAGAATGGAGGAGAAGGGACTGCGCCGTGGCCATCTCTCCTGGGGGGTAATTTCTCGCTTTCTGTCTCTCTGTCTGTCTCTGTCTTTCTAGCGAGCACATGTGCCCTATAGCAAAAACGTCTCAAAAAAAAATTCAATCTCTATACAAAACTATGGGATGCTTCCTGAATTTGCGTGTGATCTTCGTGCAGGGGCCATGTTAATCTCTGTATGGCTCCAATTTTAGTATATGTGCTGCCAAAGCGAGCACACAAAAACTTCTTTAAAAAAGAAAAAAACAAACACCAGCTTAAACCACTAAATCAAAGCTATAAGTTTGTATATAAGTAAAATAAAGTTCTAGAATACACTGACTAGAACAATCGACTGCAGTCAAACCTGGTGGGTCGCTATCTCCATTATACTGGTACCACACCAGTTTAGCCTGCCAATTGCTCTGTCTTCGGTTTCCTGGCAGAAGTATAAATTCTGGTGTGTTAAACCTTTAACTTCTTTAAATACTATGAATATCTGTTCCAACAGAAAGGCTGTTTTCTCTAACATCTGAAATTCTTATACTGACACGGACATAAAACCCAGGAGAAACAGAAAAAGGCAACAAAAGCTAGCACCCATTATGTGCCTATCGGTCACCTAGCATTGTGATGTGGTCACTTAATAGACCTAACCTTATCATATAATATGTGTTACGAGTGTGCTGGCACCAGTACACAGCACTAGATTCACTATACTCTGAAGATATACAGTGAGGGTTAGGAATAAGTAAAGTTCTGTCTTGCAAGAGAATTCACCTGGGTTTTGAGAAACCTCAGGAAATCCTCTGGCTCATCAATGCATTTGTGATTCATCTCTTTTGGATGAATTACTTCATTCATTCGACTAACATTAACTAAATGTCTATTATGCAAAGGGTAACAATGCAAAGGCATTGTGGAATTAAAGATGATTAAGATACAGGATCATCTGCAAGAAGCATACATATTACTGGGGGGAGACATATGTAGAGTGAGTATAGCAACACGCCTATATGATTTATATTAGAAAATCTCTCTTACAATGACCTTTCTTGATTTTTGTCTCCAAAATCTATGAAACTCCAGACAGTACCTCCTAAGTACTAATTACAACTAGACTGAGAGTACTCAATATGCCCAGGGCCCCCAGTGCCACTTATGCAACAAATCTTAGGTTGAGACTATCAGATGGTTCAGAAGAGCAGTGATGAGAAGCAGGTCTACCTTGCACTAAAACATGCCAGGGAGGAAATAATAAAACAGTGAGAATTAAATTTAAGTTTAATAGAAAAATCTAAATATTTAGTTTAATCTAAAAATCCTTTCCCCTCATTAGAGAATTTAATAAGATTAAAAATTGAATTTTCTTAAAGCAAAAGCAAATCTTATATTCAAGCCTACCTCTCCACTAAAGCTGAAAGTTCTATCAAGAAAAATTATCCAGTCATCAAAATAATAGCGAGATTTGGGAAAGTTCAGGTATTTTTTTAAAGAATTATTGATTTAACTTTGTTTATTTATTCATTTATTTATTTAATCATCTGCTCTAGGGCACATGTGATCACCAGAGAGAGAGAGAGAGAAAGAGAGAGAGCAAGAGAAAGCAAGAAAGCAAGCAGCCAGGTCCAGGATTCAAACCACAGTCGACCATGTGGGAGTCCAGCACCCTAACCACCATACCACCTGCTGGCCATAATAAGGTGTCTTATATACATGAGAAAAGTTCAATATTAGAACATAAATTAACCAAATAAAAATGAAAGAAATCTAGACTACTGTCCATGGAAATAATTTAGTCATGTATCTATGTGTTTACTAATGTTAAATACTAGAAGAACTGCCTTTCATTTATTTATTTATTAGATTTTTGTCATAGGACACATGTACTCACCAGAGAGAGACGGAGAGAGGAAGTGAGAAATCAGTTCCCCAGGGAGGATGGCCACCCTGCAATTCCTTCTCCTTTCTTCTCTTGGGATTTTGAGCATAGACACACAGGCCCTGGTATCATCACCAAGGCACCATGTCCAGGGACTTGAACCATGGTTGGCCATGTGGGACTAGCACCCTAACCATCACACTACCTGCTGACCCCAGGAGCTACCTTTTAATAAACCTGCAAATGTGCTCCGCTTATTTATCAGTACCTACTGTAGGCAGAATGGATCTGATTTTCATTTAAAGGTCTATGTTGTCAAGCTGTCCATACGGATGCCTGAAAGGATAAAAAGCGGGCCCCCAAGGTCCTGCCCACTTCCATTTGGCCACCTCTTGCTGCTATTCTTCAATCAAGGTCACTCTTACGAAGCAATAAAATTCACTTCCTAAAACCATAATTTTCTGTCCATCATACCGTCTTTTCAAACCTAAAATAGCTTTCAAATGCTACTCAAGTGAAAAGAAAAGTTAATCACCAGCAATGAGTTTTCCCACCAATTGGCTGCTCTTAAATAACCCCACATCTGTTCACTTTCTTCTCTTTTTTCTTAAATCAATAAAAAAGCCCTCTAGGCATCATTTGCTTGCTCTGTTTTTAAAGCCTTCAGATACATTTTAAAGCCTTACAAAAATAGGTTCTCATATTCTTTAAACCATGCTTTTTTCCTTCAAAACACTGCTTAAAATTTCAAGAGAAATGTATTAAGAATTAAATTTTACTTTGAAGTATTTCAAAGTACCCACTTGCACCCCACTGCTGTTAATTAGAGATCCCATTTATTAATACAGGAATGCTTACTTAAAACTATTACACCTTATTGGCCTAGTCTGATAGACTATAAATGTTTTTAAAAATCTTCCTTGGGGCCAACTCTGAAGCCTGGTGTTTGAGGCAGCTAGATCCCACATAGTGAACTATGCTATTTAATCTCAGCCCCAGCAGCTTGAAAAACACTTCAGAGCATGTGCCTGCACGCCCAAAATCCGCAACAGAGGTAGACATGTAGAAGAGCCGGTGTCAGGGCCATGCCATTTTGGGGTGTGATTTTTCCCTCTCTCTCTCTGGCAAGCATGCTTACCCTCTGGCAAAACAAAACAAAACAAATCCTTTATGTATTCTCATATATTTGCTGAGTGCCTAATATGTAAAAGAAAATGCAGGAGCACATCAGGTATCACAGATAAATGCCCCCCCAGGGAGGAGGAGGGTTGAGGGCTGCCATTCTCATACATTCTGTGGCTTTTTTATTTTATTTTTTTTTGGCAGGGGGCCTCTCTGT